CAAAAAAGTACTCCAGAGTGTTGTTCAGCATGGGGGTGAGTAGAAAATGAAGGCTAATCATGTTTTGGGTGTACTATTCCTTTAAGTAAGGCTGCAGTTTTTAAGTCTTTTGTGACCTTTTGGGTGAGTTGTTGATTGGTCAGCTGCTCCTGCAAAGGTTCTCCATTGTTGGATGTTTTCTCCGTTTCTGACTAGATTAGCTGGAGTCCCAAAGCTTTACAAATGGATTTTAAACCTTTACAGACTGATTTATCTCAGTTAGTGTAAAGAAAGTTAACGTCCTCTCAGCTCATGACTTCTGTCCATGTAAACACAAGCCAGGCTAGAGTTATTTTAATTTCTTTACTCGCAATAGATATGTAACTGTTTAAAACATGTTTTTATACTTATTCATACTTTATCATCATCTGAAACCAAATCTTAACCTGACAGTAGCCAGATATGTGTAGAACCAAGTTGAGTTCTACATTCAAGATTTGTTGTGAGACTGAAAACTCAGATCTCGCTGCAATCCAGCTTGCAGCGCAAGGTTAACCGAATCTGACCTCATTAATAAACATTTAAATGATTCATGTCTAAAGAATGTTTACTGTCTTTGATGCGACTCCAGTTAAAATGTGCATATTGCAGCTTCCTCACCATGTTTCCTATATTTTCCTTGTAGAGTCCCTGCACAGAGTGAAAAGACAAGCTCACGACCACCGGAAGAATACCTGCCCTTTGCTGTTGGTGGCCGACTACCGCTTCTTTAAACAAATGGGCCGCAGCCAAGAAAGCATCACTCTCAACTACCTGGTTTGACATCCTCAAGTCCTTTACTGTTCAGCTTCTAATGAGCTAATTTATTTCCTCTAGTCTAGAGTTTGAAAACAACTGCAATCATTTATAATTTATGTTCCATTCCATGTGTTTGATTCCTTTCCTGTTTGTCACAGATTGAGCTGATTGATCGAGTTGATGATATTTATAGAAACACCACCTGGAATAATGAATTTAAAGACTACGGGGTCCAGATCCAACAGGTATGCAGCTAAGAAATGTTTTCTTTTCCCTCTAGACCTTGTTATGCATCACTGTCGCTTTGAACAGTTGTTCTCTCAGCTGCATAATATCTTCATTTTATGTAGCGTCACTCCCAGAAACCCAGCTCAGAATAAAGCAGCTCTTCAGCGTGTTTGTGAATAGCATTTTAGAGGAACTGTGAGCTTTTTATACACTCCTGGGGGGTAGATTCATTTACTTTGTGAATGAATAGAGACATTGTTTTGTTACTGTAGGACAGGGACTCTCTCATTGAAGAGTTATGCATCAACTTATGGGATCTTTTATATTCTGTCCCCTAGATGTGAAGACTTTGTCTTCTGTCATACAGAACCAGTCTAATCCAGTACATTACTTGAATGAATGAACTTTTTGTTCTCCTTGCATTTTTTTCCTGCTGTTTGTTGCCATAGTTTTGTGGATAGGTTATTTCTGTAAATTCACTGCATGATGTAATGGAAGAAGTATTTTAGTGTAAAAATTAAAGGATAAGTTGGATTACTCTCCATCTTTCAATTTTACATTTTGCTATTTTGTAGTGTTAAGTTGGCATGTGTCATTCTTTAGATCAAATATGTATTTTCTCTTATAGCTTTTTCTAAAGGTTGAATTGTTTCCTCTTTTATTCAAATTTTATTATTTAATAAAGCTGCATTTTTTTTCCATACCAATATGAATATCAGCTCTACAAAGAATATAATTTAGAATTAGTTTTACTATTTAACATTTCAAAACTAATGCCAGAAATTATGCTTAAAGACTTTAATATGCATTAAAATTGATATGCGTCCAAAAAAAATCCAACAAGCAGTTCATTTTGTATGAACTAATCATGCACTGGCATTTTACAGTAGACCTTTATGCCACAATGTAATAAAAACATATTTATTTTAGTATAATCAAATTTAAAATCAAATCATTGTTAATCAATTATTGAAATAGTCAACAAATTTAGTAATCCATTAATTATTTAATGGAGTATAGAGACTAAAAAATGACTCTAGCTGACAGAGCGACTTGCTTAGAGCAGTAATTATACTAAAACGGTAAAAGAACAAAAACTAAATGTTTTAGTTTCACCTGGTTTAAATTTTGTGAAAAATCTTTAAGGAACCTTTTGTTATTAATCTCTGGTTATTAATCGAAAAATATACGACAAAGCAATCGATTGGCAAAAAGGTTGTTAGTTAAGCCTATTTCAAACCAAATCATATTGCACAAGGTGTCTTTGTCTTTCCATCTTCTTCTTTGGGGTGCTTATTCGCAGTTTAATAACAGAGTTGGTATCCAATGTTAGAAACGAACCAGTTTTAAAGTTTGTGTAAACATTAAAGTTAGCTGTGATTTTAGTATCAGCAATAAATTAAGTATTGAACGTCTTAATTTGTGGTCTGACTTTAGTTTGTTTGGATTTTTTGTAAGCTTCTCCAATTTGGATTCGGAACTAAGCATCACTGTTAAAGAAAATCATTAATGAGCAGTACACATTTAGAAGGTTTAACATCCAATGAAAAAGGTTTCTACCAACCAAATGTTAACAGAGTGATGGTTATTGCTCCTGCTTTCTCAGCCTGTCTGGGTTAAATACCAGTTTGCGGTGACTTGGAGTCATTACCAGGTGCTGATCCACCAATCAGAGCCAGACTTCAGCAAACATACATCTATGTCACCATGAACAACCAAAGCCACATGGATTCCTCATTTATTTTGTTTTATTCTTTGGTTACTGTCAAAAAGCAGAATTTAACATTACATTTACATAAATCTCCTTTCTCTGTAAAAAGACAAGTTTATATGAATCACCATTTAAAGTTCAATAATTACGAGTAAAGTGGGAATTCCTCTAAAAGCATCTGAATTTATGAGTTGGCAAAAAAGGTTAATCGTTTGTATGACTTTAGACTTTCAGGCATGTTTTTTAGATTTTGAAACTTGAGATTTTTTAACTGCTCTTAATCATCTGGTTTTTCTTTCTGTTGTCAGATTATTATTAACAAAGAGCCGACGAAGCGCCCCCCCGGCATGTCTGGGGCCGGCTGGGCACACTATAACATGGAGAACAGCCCTGTGGCAGGCGAGGAGGTCTGGGAGGTGAAGAAACTTCTGGAGGTAAAAAAAAAAAAAAAAGAAAAAACCCTCTTCATTTATGTATTTGTACACTGATAACCTCTGGACTAAATACGATTTAAGATGGATAATTGGATCATTACTGGGCAGAACTGTGAAGCTATTCATTTTGATATAATCTTGTTGGTCATTTTACTTAATTATTATAAACACATGCAACACCTGAAAATATTTTTCCTTTCATCCAACAGCAATTCAGCTCAGATATTGCAGAAAACGCCTCCACTGTGTGTTTGGCTCACCTGTTCACCTACCAGGATTTTGACAAGGGAACGCTGGGCCTGGCCTACGTCGCTCCCCCCAGAAATACCCCGCTGGGTGGAATCTGCTCAGGACGTAAGAAACGTCGTTCAGCTTAGTTTCTCTAGCTAAGAACCAGACACAGGGTTAAAATGATGTTTGAGACAGTAAAATCACCTCTGTTAGAATCTTAAAGGGTATTTTAAACCTCAGGGAACATTTAGTGACCAGTTATCTTTAGAATAACCAAAAGATTGAGACATTTCTCTTATGTTTATTACTTTATAGCTTATTACCCATCTCACTCTGCAAAGAAGCCCAGTTACCTCAACACCGGCCTGACCAGCACCAAGAACTACGGAAAAACCATCCTCACAAAGGTCTGTCGTTTTTTTTTAAGGGTTAAGTTTGAAAGAATTGATTATCCAGGGTTTCCACGGGTCATTAAAAATGATTAAAAGTCATTAAATTATTGTTTTTTTAAATTAAGGCCTTAATTGGCATTAAAATTAATTCAGGTCCCCCTCGAAAAAGAGATTATCTCAAGGGACTTCCTGGTAAAATAAAGGTTAAATAAAAAATAAAAACGTGATTATTGTTGAATTAAAAATGCTTTATAAAAAAAAAAAAAAGTTTATAAAAACTATTTCGTCAGATATATTTTATCCTAATATATTTGAGCGGAACTGTTTCTGGTTGATCGTAAAGTCGTATGTCCGGAAAAGAAGCTAACGGTGGAGAAAAAGTGTGAAAATGCAAATTTCCACAAATGTGGCTGGAAAACGAGGAATTCGGGGAAATGGCTGCAGCCTGTCGACGGTAAAGATGACGAAGGATTTTTCCATGTTTTATATGATAGTCATGGGTACTTGTTGATGCCATTAAAATTATTTCTAAGAGCATTAAAAAAGCATTACATTAGAGTTACCCATTCCTGTATAAACCCTGTTATCTGTGCTGCAGTTTTCAGTTAAAGCAGGCATCCCCAAACTCGGTCCTCAAGGCCCCCTGTCCTGCAGGTTTTAGAGGTTTCCTTGCTCCAGCACAGCTGATTTTAATTGAAAGCTGATTAACAGGCTTTTGGTCTAATGCAATCATTATAACCAGCTGTGCTGAAGTAGAGAAACCTCTAAAACCTGCAGGACAGCGGGCCTTGAGGACCGAATTTGGGGATGCCTGAGTTAAAGTAACCGATAATCATTGTTGCTAACTTAGCAACGGTGATTATAGGAAATTGACTTTTCGGAATCTCTCTCTATCAAAAGTTGACCAGTGAGAAATCTATCTGCTTTTTTCTGTGATGTTGGAGAATTTGATGACACCTTGAAAGCAGCTGTCACTTTTAGTTTGCTGTGTTCAACCAGTTGGTTAAAGCAGGAGAGAGAAGAGGCTCCTCTGTTTCCCCGCTGAAAATAAATAACACATATGCAAAGCTTCTCTGATCTACCCTAAAGCACTATGTTAATATAATATTTAACATTATATTTATTCTGTTTTTTTAACTGTTGCACTATAATAGATCCCTGCCTCAATTGAATTCATATTCAGCCTCATCCCCTGTCTTTAATTTGAATTTGATAACAAACCAGGATTGATTTATATAATTTTGGTTCAGGTGAAATATTATCGGAAACCTGAATTTATTTTATAGTGTTCATTTTTAGTTTTTAAACATATTTATAGGGTTTTTATCTCCTATGGTCTGAATTAAAGCATTACCGGATATGGAAATTAGGCGATGGTTTCATCTAGCGAGTTTTAGAACAGCCAATAGGTTGAGACTTGGCAACAGTACATTTAATGTTCATTCCCACCAAACTCAGCTGGTTTTTGCATCTGTTTGCTGTACATGTTCTTTTACTTTTTAAAAAAATGTTTGGAAACAATTTTTTGAAAGTATCCAATGGAAATACCTTTTTTACATATTCATTCACATTTCTGCCAATAAACCACATTATTCCTGGTCAGGAAGCGGACCTGGTTACCACTCATGAGCTGGGCCATAACTTTGGAGCAGAACACGACCCGGATAACCTTCTTAACTGTGCTCCCAGTGATGATGAGGGCGGCAAGTTTGTCATGTACCCCATAGCTGTCAGCGGCGACCATGTAAACAACAAGGTATGTTTGTCTATCAGCTGAGCTACCACAGCTACATTCTCTCCAGCTACTAACCAGGTTATTACTGTTCACTAAAAACAACTTACCGTATTTTCACGACCATAAGGCGCACCGTACTAAAAGGCGCAGTCTCAGTTATGTGTGCCTTTTCTGTATTTAACACACACATAAGGCGCACCGGACTATAGGGCACGTTTTTTATATACAGGTACATGTCCTCTCAGGTGGATTTTCCCACTTAAAAACATAATAAAACTACTTTATTCCCACTGATCACAGCAAATAAAGCTGCAAGGTGTATTTATTACAAAGTATTATTCAAACATGGGAGCTGGCCATCAGAGACGCATCGCTGATGACACAGGGCTGCGCTTACTCCTCTGATACAGTTTATTGACGCATAAATTAACTTGAAACCTGTC